GCGTTTTGTGTTTTCCTCAGGCACTATTGGTCATGTGGCACATGGCAAGTCAACTGTTGTGAAAGCCATATCTGGTGTCCAAGTACGGTGGTTATTTCATTTCACTGTCTTTTTAAGTTTGGGCTGTTACCTGAAAACTTGCTTAGAGATTGTATCCTCCGGTTAAGAAGTTGTAGTTTACAGGAAAGTTTGCCTGTAGTGTAATTTTAATTCTCTATTGATATGTAAGAAAATAAAGTGAAACTGGTCTAGATCGCATTCTTCTCAGGGGCTTTAGATTTATTTTGTTTTCATGCCGAAGCAATCACACTTTTTCTTGGGTGCTAAATCTCTCATAATGTGAGGTGGTGTGTTAATGAGTTGTGAGAGTATTCTTGGAAAGACAACCTCTTCAGAGTTGAATTCAGATTATCTTGTGGCCAACAGAGTACTGAGGGTTTGTTTTGTGGTTTTTGTATGAAAGGCACATCTCTTCATACATAACAATTTTGAGTGTAGATGCTACTTTTTGGTGCATTTGTGTTTTAGGAGCTTATTTCAGTTTAAAAGTCTATTCTTTATTTTATTTTTCCTTTTGTGAGTATCTTGTTGTCTGATCAGTAGCTGTTATACAGCTCTTTATCGTGTTGTCTTGTTTGATTCTGCAGACTGTTCGTTTTAAAAATGAGCTGGAGCGTAATATTACTATAAAGCTTGGTTATGCCAATGCCAAGATATATAAATGTGAGGATGATAAATGCCCTCGACCCATGTGCTATAAGTAAGTTGTTGTCTACAGGGCGTTGTAGTTATCGTTATCCATTTCAAGTTGCATTTCTCATGTTCACATTTTCTTCAGGGCTTATGGAAGTGGAAAAGAAGATAGTCCCATGTGTGACGTTCCTGGTTTTGAGAACTGCAGGATGAAATTGTTGAGACACGTCTCTTTTGTTGATTGCCCTGTAAGGATTTTGTATATTTTGAAGCTGCTTTCAGATGTCTCCTTGATTAATAGGATTTGTAATTACATCTGTGTTCCTTTTCCTAAGATCTCTATACTTTATGCTAGACATAATCGCGCAATGGCATATATATTCACTGATATCATAGTATGTCCACTTGATTTGTCTATTGGGTCTTCACTAATTTTTAAGGTTACTGCTACACAGGTGTACATACTGGGTTCAATGCTGCTTATGCATTAAGTGAGAGTCCAGTCCAATTTTTTTTGGTTACTTTTGAATTTTTGTTAATTGGTGCCTCCACTTTTGGCCAGTAGCATCTGTTGAAGTCCTTAGCATCGAACAGCCTCCTCTTATGATGAAAGACAAATTCACTTTCCTGTTGCTTTTGTTTGTAATCCCAGATGATTTACTATTCTTTTTATACTTCGTGAAATATGCTAATCTTCTGGGCGATAACTTTACTTTATGGTTGAATTTCATGCTTCTCTTAATGAGATCTTTTGTTTGTTTTCTTGAATTATTTTAGGGTCATGATATTCTCATGGCTACAATGCTTAATGGAGCAGCTATCATGGATGGGGCGTTACTTCTTATAGCCGCGAATGAAAGTTGTCCACAACCTCAGACTTCTGAGCATTTAGCTGCTGTTGAAATTATGCGGCTCCAGCATATAATTATTCTTCAAAACAAGGTTGATCTTGTCCAGGAAAATATAGCCATCAACCAGCATGAAGCCATTCAGAAATTTATACAGGTGAAAGACGTTTATTCACCTTGTTTGCAATTACATGTAATAGACTTGCGTTAATGCTCTGTTAACACTAAATACTTTCAATTTCTCTCTCAGGGAACTGTTGCAGATGGCGCGCCAGTCATACCAATTTCTGCACAGTTGAAGTACAATATCGATGTTGTGGCTGAATATATAGTAAAGAAGATTCCTATTCCAGAAAGGAACTTCATTTCACCGCCAAATATGATTGTTATTCGATCTTTTGATGTCAATAAGCCTGGTTTTGAAGTTGATGAGATTAAAGGTGGTGTCGCTGGTGGCAGTATCTTGAAGGTATTTCTTACTTTTCAGTAAGCATTTTAGTAGGCATGTATGACATACAAACCATAAATGCTCAGTAAAGATGTTAAGAATTTATTGATTTCTGCATGCAGGGTGTGTTGAAAGTAAACCAATACATTGAGGTTCGTCCTGGTATTGTTGTAAAGGATGAGAATGGCAACATCAAGTGTACCCCAATATATTCCAGAATAGTGTCATTGTTTGCCGAACAAAATGAACTTCAGTTTGCAGTGCCAGGAGGCCTTATTGGAGTTGGAACCACTATGGACCCTACATTGACTCGTGCTGATCGATTGGTGGGTCAGGTTCTTGGGGAAGTTGGGTCGTTGCCTGAAGTTTTTGTTGAACTGGAGGTAAGAATTTGCTTGAGAAGAGAACGTAATGCAGTTTAATACTTGGAACGTTTTCGAGAGGCTTTATTTAATGTTGTAGCTAATGTTTCTGTCGGTTGATTTAGTGCCTCCTGCTGCAAAATTCTTCCCGTGTTGCTTTCCCTTTAATTGATTTGCCATGGTGCTTTTATTGATCGCCTTAATGTAATTGATTTGTTGCAGGTAAACTTCTTTCTGCTCCGGCGGCTTTTAGGCGTCCGGACAAAGGATACTGAGAGACAGGGTAGAGTCTCAAAGCTAGCCAAGGGAGAGATCCTTATGTTGAACATAGGGTCTATGTCAACAGGGGCTCGTGTTGTTGCTGTGAGGAACGTATTTGCAAAATTACAACTCACATCTCCTGTCTGCACCAGTAAAGGGGAGAAAATTGCACTCAGTCGCAGAATTGAGAAGCACTGGCGTCTTATTGGCTGGGGCCAAATTCAGGCTGGTATAACTCTGGACGTCCCACCCTGCCCTGTCTGAGTGAATTAGACGAACAACCACTTACAAAGGAAAGAAGAAAGCAACTGAAACAGTTGAGAAAACTACGGATTAGATGTGGGAGGGCAGGCAACTGCAGCAGGGAACAGTTTTTGTTCGTTGGCGGAGAAAAGAAAATGTTTCAGAATTTTGGATACTTGATTATTGTTCTGTGCTGTTTCGGCCACTTTTTATCTTTGTGCAAGAGTCTGTACCTTATCTAATTCTTTATTAGTTGTTGCGTTGATGATTGGATATTGTTACGTATAAGAAACCAACATTTTGGGAGGAGCCTCGATATCTAAAGCCAACAATGCTGCTGTTTGTATCATACCTCCCCTATTTGACCGGTGGTCTGTGTCGTCAGCGTGTTGATGGGATATGAGTGCCAATAATGATATGATATGACATGGTAAAAGCTTTTTGATATGTTGATTAATTCCCAACTTCGATGTCACATTATGTGACGGTCTTCATTGACCAACTTCGATGGAGTTTCTACTCCCATCGAGTCCCCTCCCCCTCTCCCTAGAATATACTAGCTTAGGCTATAGGAATTCTATCGTATCGAAAAAAAAAAAAAAAGATTAATTCCCACATCTCAGACTCGATACCCAACTTTGCGTATTTCTGAATTAGGGCTCGTAACAGTCGTCTCTATCTTTTAATTTTCGTCACTTATTGCTACTGGTGTTCCTTCGAGCCCTCGGCATAAGCTTTCGACCAATTACTTCCATGTAACAAAGGTACCCCTCAACGTACAATAAAGGCTACGGAGGGAGCCCAGAGAGTAGAATGTTGTATTAAAGCAACTACAGCCTAGAGAGTAATGGTACAAAAAAAAGAAAGAAAGAAACTTCAAGGCATGCTTTCTTTTTCTGAAAGCCCTTTCTAGACTTGGTATCCCTATATAGTTTAATGCATTTTTTTAGGTGAGTGACATACTGACCAGACGAAGAATTGCTTTTTAATTATACGGCTGGGCAAAATCTTGAAAACGAGCAGGTTTGTTTCCAGAGATGAGCCATAGAAGACTACTACAATGATTTGTAGTGTTCAACCAAATTGTCTATGCATTTCTTGAATGGTCTTTCGATGCTGTTAAATTCTTTCCTCATCTTTTTCCCCTGAAGTTATTGGATTTGCAAGTAAAAGGGTGAATGAGCCCATGACTCATTCATTAGTCGGGCAACTTCCACCTTATTATGCACTTCTTGTTTCGAACTTCCCATTTACGAAACAGATACTCTCATCATATATCAACAGTGACAAAGTTGCCTACCCTCCAATTTGCACATGTATAGGTTACACCATATTGAAGATTGTAAATTTGTCCCTTCTTTTGTTTGGAGATCAAAATTACATGATGTAAGTTCTTTGATGCATATTCGTAGGACCACCTGGAATTGTGAAAGCCACAAAATCGTCGCAAAACAGCATCAGTCTTGTCTTGTCTATGTTGCCTGATCACAGGGTAAGAACGCAGGATTCCAAAAGGACCACCTTAACTTCAACTTTCTTCGTTTCTCCTACAATCTTATACTATATTTACCAAATTCTCTTAGGTAATATAGATGCAAGTGGTGATGTAACACAGCCCAATCTCAAAACTAAGCACTGTCACTGTTGCAAGGGTGAAATCAATTCAAAGATTTTCAAAGAGCAAAGTAGGAAGTGTTTTGCTCTTGCTTCTCCCAATTGCAGCAACTTGGACCATCTACATATGATTAATTTGCTTTCTGGGGTTGAAAGTGCACTTTTCATCATAACATGCCAAGAGACGCATGCCATTGAAGCTTAGGACCCTATTAGAAGTCTCATAGGGTGAAGACCACGAAGGTGACATGCATGGCGATGATTAACTTACATTCTATCGTGAATATGACTGTTCAAGAATGAAGGCAAAAGGAAACAATTGTTCTTTTTGACTTCAAATGCAAGTGATACAAATTCTCTACTCCATCTTCATTTTGACAAGTATCAGCCATATGAAATTACGGCCATGCATTTTTTGCAATAACATGGTTCCTCCCTCCTATAAATTGGCCACTTTGCATAGCGCTTGTCATCCCACCAGCCAAACCACAGATTCCTACTAGAAACCTCTTTGCAATCTACATACCAACCATGGCTATAAGGTCCATTCTCTTCATTTCCCTGGCGGTTGCTATAATGGCAATCCCAATTGCAGAAGCCCAATTAGGAGGACTCATCAGTGGCCTCCTTGGTTCTATTAATGTCAAAGGCATTGTATTCTGCACTCTTGATGGCAACATTGGCATCAATGGCACCGCTACCCCCGTTTTTTCGAGTAAGTTTTGCCTTGTTAGTTCAGAGGAGAAACACATGGTTTCCTAGTGGTTTAGTTTCACGCTACCCAATACTAAACCATGCATGCATAAATGTCACTACTTTTCTTTTTCTTTTTTTTTTTCGGTTCTGGACAGATGCATTAGTGCAATTGCAGTGCGGAAATGGAGATGTGGTGTCTACTACAACAACGAACAGCGCAGGAGTGTTTGGTTTTGTTTTGGATCCTCTTCAAATGTTACTTTCTTCTTTAACAACCAATTGCAGCGTGGCTGTGAAGACTCCACTCTCAACATGCAACGTCAACCTGCCTTCCGTCGGAGGCCTGCAATCACCGCTCAAATACGTGGGAGACACCGTTCTGGGACTTCTCAACATCGCAAACTTGATTCCTTCAGGATTCCGACTTATTCCTGGCCTCGCCAACTAGTGCAACCTCGCATGCTTGAATCAGGATGAAGGATGTGTGTTTCCTATGTATAATTAATTAGTAATAAAACTGTGTGATTGTTTGGCTTCATATCTGGATTGTTAAAGTCCCTCTCTCTGAATTTTCCGCATTATATATATGTATTGCCGATAGTGTGATGATCAATTGTAATTTGCAAGCTTGCAATATAAGTCATGTTTTCTTTTCTAGTTTATATTTTGTCACTGCACAGCACAGCTTCTTGTTTTCCTTTTTTTTTTTTTTTTTTTTACTATTTTGGTGTTGGTTTGTGGGCTTCAAGAAATTCCATGGAATGCTGACTAAATCAAAGAAAAATATTGAACTACATTTCACAAGAAGCATTTTTTTTTTCCCAACCTTGGGAGGTTACATCTTAAAGTGCAATTTCAGGTGGTTTTTGAGCCAAATTCCGGAAGGGAAACAATTAAATTGAAACAAGAAGTGGAAAGCCTCAAGATATGCTCGACCTTGTTTAATTCTGAATTATGGAAAACTATTATAACAGTACTACTATTCGTAATCCATGCTACAGCAGGAATGATTGTGTGACAACATGCTTTGTCAGTAATTTGCCGTTGGGACGAGCAATTCACTGATTTTGGAGAAGGAATTGTTTCAACACCGAGGTAAGACAAATTTCATATAGTCTTGGTCAGAATTACATATATGAAAAACGTGGGGATGAAATCTTTTTTTGACAAGTAAAAGAATCTTTTGGCACAAAGAATCATGAACTAGACATTAATAGAAGAGAAATACAGTGACTCAAATAACTTGAAAAAGGGGGAAATGAGGAAGAAAGAAAGGCATAAAGTAGAGTTAATTAATTTTGTTATTGGGAGTCACAAAGTAACTGCTAACTTTTCTTCTTTTTTTTTTTGGTATCTTTTCTGGGTTATGCAAGAAGATTTTGTTGCTACTTGATGCAAGAAGATTTTGTTGTGATTTATTTACTTGATTCGGGAAGAGTTTGCCGTGATTTACTAAATGCAAGAAGAATGTGTCAACATAATAGCTGACACGTAAGTGCATGTTTGGCTCTCTTAATTGATCTATATCCTCACATGCAGTTAATCAAGATTTTGAGGGCACAATACGTAAGTTTTGAGCGAAGCACAAAACATCCTAATCAATCAACTATCCCAACTCCCAAGTTTAGTTTAAACCTAATGAGTACAGAAATCTGTATATCTCATGCGTGATAGGATAATATGCAACATATATAGTAGTTGATTAGATGTATCTAACTACGATCGTTGAAAGCAAACCCTAGTCCAAGAGCAACAATGTGACATCCTTTTTTTAACAAATGAGGAGGGAAAAAATGCAGACTGATATACTATAAGCGTTTCAATAAGATTACTTTTCACCTTCAAGTAAGCTACAAGGAGATACTAAAAACAAACCATATACAATGGCTTCAAACATCTTTTGGTTTGAGAAACATAAAATTAAGCTCCTGGTTGTAGGCCCTAAAAATCGATTTTGAAAACCTTCAAGAACCAGAGAAAAATGCTTAACTTACTTGGGGACATTTAATTAATTAATATATTTACAGAGATTCAATTCATATACATAAATAAAACTTGTACCATTGACATTACCAATTTGTGCTTCTCAAAGACGTAGAAAACTTGAATAAGTAATTTTGCACATATTCGGTGCATTGTGTGATAAAATATTTTTTATTTGCTGTGGGGACATTTCCAATCGCAGATTAGTTGGATGATCTTATTGACACCGGCCCCTTAAATCTAGAACTTGTTCAAAGCAAATTATTGATTGGATTACTTCACGTCCGGAGGCCATCTTTCTCATCGTCTGTTTGGATTGTAAGTTATTTGGAATATTTTTACTGTAGCACTTTTTTGTGATGTGATGTATGTGAGATAAAAAGATATTGGGAAGATAAAAAGGTGTATTGGAAATTGTAAAGATGATGTAAGCAAATAAAATTGGGGAAATATGAAGCAATCCAAACAATATAGTTGCCTCACAATCTAGAACTTGTTCATGTTCTCTCTTTTGAAAAGCTCCACATCGATTTAGTCTTCACTTTAGATCAAAGATAGAAGAAATGATTCGCTTTCGCTCTCTCTCCCCCGCCAAGGTCTTTGCTTCTCTACTCAACCGGTGACGGTGAGTATATATATATATTATATACACAACCGAGATTTATTCATGCAATAGATCGATGCATCTCTTTTGGGCTTTCTAACCAAAATTGATGGGCCTAAATTCAATACCCAACAACAAGTAACGAATTCCTCCAATTTGAGTAGGAAAATTTTAGGATAAATTGGGAAGGAATCTTTTTGAGTTTTGGTCAGTCAGTAGGTGCTACAAGTTCTCTTTCTTCTTCTCCCTTTTTCTTTTTCTTTTTTTTTCATCAATCAAGAGATGCCTGGTCATTTTTGTTGCCTAAAAAAAAAAAAGCTCTAAGATGGTGTACATTAGAACTTGGACTCAGTCCTCATTCCTAATAATGGTAACATACGTAAAAAGTTGTTTGGTTTAAAGATGAAGAGAAGTAGGCGCGAGTACATGGGATGCGCAGGGCAGCAGCAGCAGCTTGCTGCCGCTAGTACAGAGAGAAGTGACAACAGAGGTGAGGTGAGCTGGATAATGAAATCTGACAAAAGTGAAACCAGAGCCTAGAAAGTTTTCATTTCCATAAGATGCAGTTGTATTTTGAGGGGCTGTTGAATGGGGACTTAACGAGGGAAATGGACCCACTCCTCTCGCACGGCCTAAGATCGTGCATGGCATTCAATAACTTGTCTGACTGATTTTGCGTTAGATTCCAGTGTCCTGCTCCTGCCTACCCTCTTAGGCATTTTTCCTCCCACCATAAATCCTGTCTTAGGCTGGATGACCAATTTGTACATGTTAAAAAAAAAAGGCGGGGGGGGGGGGGGGGAGTTGTAATTTTGGTCCCAAATGTACCCTTTAGGGTACGGGCGATTCTAGTCCACAAAATTTGGAGGAAATTAAACATACACCCAAACATTTCAATTGTTAAACACATATAATCCTATTTATTGACCCGAACACCCCTGTGTCAAAAAAATATATATATATATATATATAATCCTACTTATTGATTTTTGAAAAACGCTTTTAGTCGCATATATGGCATTTATCAAGAAAAACACCACTTTATGCCCAAAATTAAAATAAAAAAAAATACCATAATATAATTTATAATGAAATCAACTTTTTGTGTTTTCTTAAGTCTTGTTTGGATTGTAGTTTTCTCCCAAAAAAAAATTATATTTTTCATGAATATATTTTTCAATCACTTTTTTACCTTACATTTGTAAAATTGCTATGGTATATTTTTCAATTTGTTATGCACGATTAAGATTTTCTCTTTATGCAGAATGATAGTCAAATGTGTTCCTAGCAGTAGTTTGATTAAAAAAAATGCATTGCATTGACGTGCATGTGCCTTTCAATAGCAGTATGTATCATTTATTCTTTCTCAAATTATTAACCTCCTGCATTAATTTATTTACCATTGCAAAAGCAGAACACACTCTCTATTTTGTAAGCTAAAATAACCTTCGCACTGGGTGAGCAATTGTATATTTGTGCAGAAGATTCTGCAAGTGCAGCAATCATCCAAGGGGACATACAAAAGATTAATGATTCACATGGGACCCTGTGAACTAAAAGTTTTAACTATCCATTCTCGGAATTAAGAGATGCAAAGTCCGACCCCTTTCTCCAAGGGAAATTATCATGAGAAACAGGAGCACTATGATAAAAGAAACATTTAAATGCGTTTTTACTTGATATACTTAATCTATTACATAAATTCATTAACACATTTGCAATTTTTATTTTTATTGAATTGAAAATAAATAAAATTTACACATTTTTAATTTAATTTTTACTTCATTTAATTTGAAGAAACTAATACTACTTAGCACCTTCTTAACTGATAAGACTGAAAGACGAGTAAAAATTACTCGATACTTGAATAGAGTTTAATTTGGTAAGAGTTTGTTCGCAGTTAATCAAACTAAGCTTAAACAGTAATTTGTATTTGATGAACTTTCAAGTTTGGTTCGAGCTTGGCTCGATTAGCATATAAGTGAAGTGTAGATATAAAAATTTCAAACTACTTGAATTCAACTCGATAAAAATTTGTTCAAACTCGACTCAAGAAGTAAATAAGTTGAACAAAATTTAAACTTGTCAAATAAGTTTGAATACTAAAGTATTCTGTCTGTTTAGACTCATTTAATTTACACCCCTATAATAAAAATCGATGCCTATTAAGTACCCGTAAAATAAAGTATAAAGAAAAAAACTCAATTATGCCGACTGTCATTTGTTTTTATGTTCTAGGACAAATATATAGACCTTTTTCTAGGTTGGCGAACTCTCAATTATAGTTCTATATAGTGAGTCGAAGTAAAAGAAAAAAATTTTGGAGGGCCAAACTACATCTAAGAATTTGGTTACAAAGATTTTCTAATAAAATGTTGCTTTTGCAAAGGCAAATTGTGTTGATCCCAGATGAAATCTCATGTATAATGTCTCATAATTACGGCAATTTCCCTAATGTTCTTTTTTCTGATATTGCCTAAACGGCCTCCAAAATGTAGTTTCTCTGATATTGAATTTGTACTGCTGAAGGGTCCTCAACTGCTAATTATTATTGTAGCCTTTTTTGTTTCTTCTCCCACTTAGGGGTTAGGAACTTTCTTTCTAGGAACTTTCTTTCCCCGCCCCGGGACCAGAAGGGCCCCAAAAATCTAACCCAGATGTTAGCGCATATCATTTTGAAGTACAGCCTTGCTTGGATTGAAGGTTTTCGTCGGAAAATATTATCGTTTTCCGTGATCACATTTCCCTATCACTTTTTTCCCTCACATATATCAAATCGCTACAGTAATTTTTCCATGAAAAATGACGGAAAATGCAATCCAAACACAATCGATCTCATCCTCAATTGCCAGCCTTGAAGT